TTTTAAAAAAGTTAGGACGATCGTAGGTCACTCAGCTGATTATAGGAACTTTTTTGTTACATTTTTGTTACAGAAAAGGACCTGGGGACACCTCCTTCTAATTAAACCTCTCCCACATTGAATTCTAGGGAATCTCCCACGTCTGCATGGCTGGATCCAGCTGGTGGCTAACTAGGTTTCTTCAGGATCTCCTGGACCAACATTAGAAGAAAGGACAACATCTCTTTTATCAGCAGGGACTCTGCAAAAGGAAAGGCATATTAATACTTTCCTGTATGAAAAATTTCATATACTCAGGAAGTTTACCTTTTTACTCTGATGGATTCATAACCCCCAAAATTAACCCCCCAGAGTTCTTCAGGGCTATTTGAATTTGCACTTTTATCATTCAAAGCACTTTAAGATGGCGTCCCCTTTTATTCTGCAAATGGAAATACTTTGCACCTGAAAATTGGGGTTCTTTTCATAAATCATTTTTGCTGGAAACTTAACTGACGTCAGGGATTCCATCTATAGAAAATATGAATTGAATCATGTATTTTTATACTCAGATTTCTTTTCCTGGAAATATGAATATTAAAGTATTTTGATAGAGATGAAAAGAGTAAGCATGAAATACCACAAATCCAGGTGAAAGCCATATTCAGTATAAAGCCGTACATTTCTTGAATGGGAAGAATAAATAAATGAATTTCTATTTGCTTTTTCTTAACTGTTTTAAAATTGAGGTTTTTTAATGTAACGGCCGAAATATTTAATCTATTTTTAAATTGTTTTAAATTTTGTAATTTAACTAATTTAACTATAGAAAATAGATTTGGGATTAGAATGGGATATCAGTGGTTTTGCTTTCTTCTGGAGTCGGCTGTGGTTTACTGGACACGGAGTACAAGTAGTCCTCAACTTATGACTATAATTGAGCCCAAAATTTATGCTTCTAAGTGAGAAATTTCTTAAATGGGTTTTGGCCCATTTTATGACTTTTCTTGCAATATTCGTTAAGTGAATAACTGCAGTTGTTATATTGGTAACACGGTTGTTAAGTGAATCCCAGCTCATTCGCTGCAATCACTTTCGAGTCGCGTAGTTCAGCGGGAGGCTGCCGTAGGGAGGGATCTGGGTGGGGCGTATCCCACCTAATTCGGCTGCGTTTTTTCCCTTTCCAAAACACCTCCAAGCAAGCAGGGCAGGTGGCACCACAAGAGCTGCTGACGTTTTGTGCCGCAGCCCGTCCCCTTCCCACAGTAAGAAAGAGGCATTTGGTGAAATCAGGAGCTTTGCCACTGAGCCTGATATCACCAGAGGCCTTCCCGGCATGGCTAGTATGTCTCCAACCAGCCAGCCAGGCCTGCTCCCCGCCATGGCAGCCGACCTTGATCCTGAGTAGCACAGTACCAGCGGCAGCCAGCCAGGCCTGCCACCCCCCCCCCAGGCCTCCCCCCACCGCAGCCCTCCCCCTTCCTGAGAACATACAAAACGTGGTTTTGTATGTTTCTGGAGTTGGCTGAGGTTTACTGGAAACGGAGTACAGGTAGTCCTCAACTTATGACAACAACGGAGCCCAAAATTTATGTTTCTCTTTTTTTTTGAGTTTTTTTTTCACATGAACATATCTCAAATGTAGTTTTTTATCTGACATATTTTCTTTTACCTTTCATACTAATACAATCTTCATCCTAAACAATTTATGTATGTTCAACATAAATTCTTGACAACCATCCTTCTTCTCCCTCTCCTCTCTTTCCTTTCCCTCCCTTCTTCCATCTACTCTTCTACTTTCTTCTTTCCTCCTTCTCCTTCTCCCACACCTCTGTCTAGCTGCCTTCTCCTCTCCCAGCCGATGTCAATTAGGATCTAAGGACCATTGAAAGGAATTTCATTAGGCAACTTAGCCCAGAGTGAGGCTTGCCATGAGCCAGCGGGGGGGGGCGGGGGGGCGTGTTAAAGCAGGAAAACAGGGGAAAGACGGCTGGAAGAGACGCTTCGCCACTTGCTTGGAGCGTGGAGGCTGGGACTTCTCCGCAGAAGGAGCCCTGCAGCGAGGCGAAGCTGAGATGGGGCGCAGGGGGAAGGAAAGGGGGGCTCCGGTAGTTTTCTTGGCGCCCTTCATGTATTTAGTATTTTCTCAGATTTAGCTCCCTCGGCTTTCCCTGGTCTTGAAAAGGTTTCTGCCCTGAGTCACCGTTTCTTCACGACAGACGTGCCCAAGAAACGAGGAGAGAGATGTGCCTGGAAAGCTCCGCCGCAATGACTCAAAGCAGGAATGCGCCTCACGGTGTCACAAAAAGTGTGACACGATTCAGCCCCTCAGACTGAGGCGGCAAAGGGAAGGCGGGGCAGGTCGGCGTGAGAAACCTTTGTCCGCTAGTTTGGCGTTTCGGGGCTGGGACTTCGGCGGAGAAGGAGCCATGCAGCGCGGTGAGGCTCAGATGGGGCGCAGGGGGAAGAGAAGGGGGGCGCCTTCGCCTTGGGGAGGAGGAGGGCAGTGGGAGCCTCTGGGGGCCAAAGACAGGTTGGGGGGGGGGGCTGCGATCTGCCTGCCATCAGTCACAGAAGGGGGGGAGCGGCGCCTGAGCGGATCCTTTCATTGAGAGATTGTCCAGTTTTATGTTTTATGCAGTTTTAGCTCTTTACGTTTAACTTATAGGTCGTGGCTGAGAGGCGGTGGAGCTAAATTCCACGCAAACAAATGAAGTGTATTTTTAACAGATTAACAGAGTTGGAAGAGACCCTAGAGGTCATCTAGTCCACCCCCCCCCCGCGCCTAAGCAGGAGACCCTGCACCATTTCTGACAGGTGGCCGTCCCATCTTTTCTTGAAAGTCTCAAGTGGTGAAGCTCCCACAAATTCCGAAGGCAACTTCTGTTCCGTTGCTTGATTGTTCTCTAAGTCGGTGCTTCTTCCAAACTCTCATCAGAGAGTCTCTAAGTATATGACTTTTAAATACTTTGTCCACTTTATTTTCATAAAATAAGTAAGCATGCCATCCAAATTCAAGATCAAAACTTTCTATATTCAATATTCCAGTCTTTTTCCTTCCAAACCAATCACTTCCTTGAGATAAAGCTGCTGCTTCATAATATAACTGTAGGTTTGGAAGTTTAAGACCTCCCCGTTCTGGAACATCTTGCATAATTTTTAATTTCACTCTCAGTTTTTTCTCGTTCCAAACAAACTTATTCACTCCACTTTGCCACTCTTTCAGTTGTTTATCACTTTTAAGCACCGGAATCATTTGAAACAGAAACAAAAATCTTGGCAAAATGTTCATCTTAACTGCTGCTATTCTTCCAAGTAAAGACAGCTGCAGTTTTTTCCAGGTCTCCATATCTTTCTGCACATCTCGCCACAACACCTCATAATTATTTTGAAACAGTTTCATATTTAATTTTAATTTTGTGGCAAGTCTGTTCATTCTGAGCCTTTGCTTTCCTGACTTGGTCTTTGCAGATTCTGGCTATCTGCTGATCTTCTGCCTTAGTTATGTGTCCTCCTTTCCATTTTTTGTACTTGTCCTTTTTGTCTTTCAATTTGTCAGAGAGATCTTTGTGCAGCCATGCTGGTTTCTTCTTGGATTTCTTGTTTTTCTTTCTCAGTGATATTGTGGTGGTCTGGGCTTTTATGATCATATTTTTCAGAGTTTCTCAAGATTCTTGAGTTGTTTTCCCCTTTAGGATATTCATCCGAGGAATTTTTGCCAAGTTCTCTCTGAGTTTATTAAAATCAGCTCTTTTAAAATCTAAGACTCTGGTATCATTGTGTTCTATTGCTTGTGTTTGCATTGAGTTGAATTCTAGTATGACATGGTCACTCTCACCCAAGATTCCTGCAGTTTCAATTCCCTCTATTACTTCTGTTTGTAAGTATTTATTTATTTATTCTCAATGCCTCCAAGTGTCTCATATTTATCATTTCAGGTCAGGGCGGATCCAGAGACGCAGCATATTTCATTTTGCTCTTAGGCTGTTCAGCAATTGGTGGTAAGTTCCAGTAAGTGGCCCTTTCCAGCCTTGAGATACCTCTGTTTGAAGGGAAAGGGCAGAATTATCTCTCATTGTCCATCCATTCGTCCATAATAATTGGAATATTTTTAATTAATGAAGAGGATTGTAATAACTGGAATATTTTCAAATGGATATTTGGAACTTAACTAAATAATTAGGAATTGTACTATGTTGTATGAGCTTAAATGTAGGGATACTAGAGTAAGATTGATATTTAATTGATTTTTCATTGAATATGTTTCATTAATTAATGAAATTATGATAAATGGATTACTTTTAAAATAAGAGATAAGAATATAATATAATAGTAATAATGAATTATCTAAGTCAATATGAAATGACAAAATGTAGGGATGTTTAAGACTTGAAAATAAGACCCAGAAATAAGAAGTTTAATACATGTAATTGCAGTAGTTAGAACATTTGGGTTAAGATATATAGTTAATTGGTTAACTCAACTCAACTAATACGTTGAGTTGTATTATTGGGAATAGTTGATAAAAGAATTATTGGTGATTAGAAGAAGAGAATTTAAGGAAATAATTGGGGATTGTACTATGTTATGTGAATCTAAATTTAGGGGTTCAAATTTTAAAGAGGGAAAAGAAAAATTGAGCTCTAATAGGATGAGAAGTCAAGATGAAGGGCAATATTAGTTTCTTAAAATTAAAGAGAATAAATGTAATGAGAAAAATTGAACATATAAAATTACGTTAAAGATGAAGAAAAATCTGTACAAATTTAAGAGCGGGCCAATATTCTGTTCAGAAAAGATGTATTGTCTGCTTGTTTGTGTGTTTAAAAAATTAAAAAAAAAAACTTTAAAAAAAAGAAAAAAGAAAGCCGGCAGAAGCCAGACAGATTTTTTTAATTTTAAGGATTGACTGTATCCAGAAAAGATATGAACAATATTTGCAGTTAAATCGCCTCAAGGATGTTTTCCTGTTGGAGTTCAAGATGTGCCTCACGCTGCTTTCTCCTTTTCTTCCCTCCAAAGGAGAATTCCAGGAGGCCTCCAGGTATCTTCTGCCTTCCAAGGAAGATTCCCCAACATTTCTGGTAAGTCCTTTTGACCCACAAAGATTGGCCCTCAGTTGAAATAAAAAAATAAAATAAATAAATAAATTCTCTTCCACAGGATTCCAGGATTTAGGGAGAATGAGATCAAGATTCCCAACAGCCACATATTTCTCTCTGCTCTTCCAGCTACTCATAAATGGCCTAGTTGGACAAATAGCCATGAGGACCGAGCGTTGAACAAATCCAAAGCATCTTTTGTAGTTTTCATGGGGAATTCATCCCAGGCCCAGCTCTATACATCACTCAGAACCTACCATATATGCCACAGAAGAGGACCTGGGGACACAAAAGGACACAACAGTAAATTTCATATACTCAGGAAGTTTACCTTTTTACTCTGATGGATTCATAACCCCCAAAATTAACCCCCCAGAGTTCTTCAGGGCTATTTGAATTTGCACTTTTATCATTCAAAGCACTTTAAGATGGTGTCCCCTTTTATTCTGCGAATGGAAATACTTTGCACCTGAAAATTGGGATTCTTTTGATAAGTCATTTTTCCTGGAAATTTAACTGACTTCAGGGATTTCATCTATAGAAAATATGAATTGAATCATGTATTTTTATACTCAGATTTATTTTACTGGAAATATGAATATTAAAGCATTTTGATAGAGATGAAAAGAGTAAGCATAAAATACCCCAAATCCAGGTGAAAGCCATATTCAGTATAAAGCCGTATATTTCTTGAATGGGGAGAATAAATAAATGAATTTGTATTTGCTTTTTCTTAACTATAGGAAACTAACTTAAATTTAGAAAATGGATTTGGGATTAGGATGGGATATCAGAGCTCTTTCAAGGAACAATTTTTCAGTCATTGTTCCATTAAAAAGCTAAAAAACCCTGCATGACTGTTTTTGATATGCAAAATGTTTACCTGGGGATGTATTTGAGACAGTTGTGTGCTGGGATTTTTGAGTAAAAAGAATAAAATCATATTTCCTGTATCAAAGGTTTCTGTGCTTTTGTCTCCTGGGTGTAGAATTGTAGGACGGGGTGGGGGGAAATTTCCTGGATGAAGAAACCATGTGGTTTTGCTGTCTTCTGGAGTCGGCTGTGGTTTACTGGACACGGAGTACAGGTAGTCCTCAACTTATGACCACAACTGAGCCCAGAATTTATGTTTCTAAGTGAGAAATTTGTTAAGTGAGTTTTGCCCCATTTTATGACTTTTCTTACCACATTCATTAAGTGAATCACTGCACTTGTTCCATTGGTAACACGGTTGTTAAGTGAATCTGGCTTCCCTGTTGACTTTGCCTGTCAGAAGGTCGTAAATCACATGACCCCGGGATACCACAACCGTCATATATATGAGTCTCTTCTCAAGCATCCGAATGTAAATCCTGTGACCATGGGGATGCTGCAATGGTCAGAAGCGTGGAAAATGGTAAGTCACATTTCAGTGCCGTTGTAATTTGGAATGGTCACTAACTGAGCTCTTGCAAGTTGAGGGCTACCTGCACAGGCCTGAAATCTGACTGGCAAGAGCTGGAGATGCTGTATATTTCTTGAATGGGGAGAATAAATAAATGAATTTGTATTTGCTTTTTCTTAACTATAGGAAACTAACTTAAATTTAGAAAATGGATTTGGGATTAGGATGAGATATCAGAGCTCTTTCACAGAACAATTTTTCAGTCATTGTTCCATTAAAAAGCTAAAAAACCCTGCATGACTGTTTTTGATATATAAAATGTTTACCTGGGGATGTATTTGAGACAGTTGTGTGCTGGGATTTTTGAGTAAAAAGAATAAAATCATATTTCCTGTATCAAAGGTTTCTGTGCTTTTGTCTCCTGGGTGTAGAATTGGGAGATGGGGTGGGGGAAAATTTCCTGGATGAAGAAACCATGTGTTTTTGCTGTCTTCTGGAGTCGGCTGTGGTTTACTGGACACGGAGTACAGGTAGTCCTCACCTTATGACCACAACTGAGCCCAGAATTTATGTTTCTAAGTGAGAAATTGGTTAAGTGAGTTTTGCCCCATTTTATAACTTTTCTTACCACATTCATTAAGTGAATCACTGCACTTGTTCCATTGGTAACACGGTTGTTAAGTGAATCTGGCTTCCCTGTTGACTTTGCCTGTTAGAAGGGCGTAAATCACATGACCCTGGGATACCACAACCGTCATAAATATGAGTCTCTTCTCAAGCATCCGAATGTAAATCCTGTGACCGTGGGGATGCTGCAATGGTCAGAAGCGTGGAAAATGGTAAGTCACATTTCAGTGCCGTTGTAACTTGGAACGGTCACTAACTGAGCTCTTGTGTAGGCTGAAGAGGGCTGGGGTCTTTGGGGTCCAAGCTTCCTTTAGCCAGGATTTCCCCCCACACACCCCCGTCCACTGGAGGAGCCTGAAAAGTTTAGCCTTGTGACAAACTCTCTCCACTTGGAGTTCAGACTTGTGTGCGTGTGCCACAAAATAGTTCTCACCCCCTTCGATTCCCTCTTCTTTGACTTTCCATTGTCCGCAGTGCTGAAAACTTGACTTCTCGGCTTTCCCACCCTCGTCCCTCCCCTCTTCCTCCGGTTCCCTCTCCAGAAAGAGCTCCTTCCCTCCACCTCCTCCCCTCGCTCGGCTCCACCCGCCACACTTTGCCCGCAGTTGATCCCACCTGTGACGGGGAAGAGAAGGGCGAGCGCGGAAGAAACCCCGTCTCTGCAGTTGTTATATTGGTAACACGGTTGTTAAGTGAATCCCAGCTCATTCGCTGCAATCGCTTTCGAGTCGCGTAGTTCAGCGGGAGGCTGCCGTAGGGAGACCCGTTTGGAGGGATCTGGGGGGGGCGTATCCCACCTAATTCGGCTGCGTTTTTTCCCTTTCCAAAACACCTCCAAGCAAGCAGGGCAGGGGGCACCGCAGCAGCTGAGCCCGTCCCCTCCCCACAGTAAGAAAGAGGCATTTGGGGAAATCAGGAGCTTTGCCGCTGAGCCTGATGTCACCAGAGGCCTTCCCGGCATGGCTAGTATGTCTCCAACCAGCCAGCCAGGCCTGCCACCCCCCCCCCAGGCCTCCCCCCACCGCAGCCCTCCTCCTTCCTGAGACCATACAAAACGTGGTTTTGTATGTTTCTGGAGTCGGCTGAGGTTTCCTGGACACGGAGTACAGGTAGTCCTCAACTTATGACAACAACGGAGCCCAAAATTTATGTTTCTCTTTTTTTTGAAAGAGTTTTTTTTTTCACATGAACATATCTCAAATGTAGTTTTTTATCTGACATATTTTCTTTTACCTTTCATACTAATACAATCTTCATCCTAAACAATTTATGTATGTGCAACATAAATTCTTGACAACCATCCTTCTTCTCCCTCTCCTCTCTTTCATTTCCCTCCCTTCTTCCATCTACTCTTCTACTTTCTTCTTTCCTCCTCCTCCTTCTCCCACGCCTCTGTCTAGCTGCCTTCTCCTCTCCCAGCCGATGTCAATTAGGATCTAAGGACCATTGAAAGGAGTTTCATTAGGCAACTTAGCCCAGAGTGAGGCTTGCCATGAGCCAGCGGGGGGGGGGGGGGGGGGGCGTTTTGTTGGCACGCTCCGTGTCTTTAGTATTTGCTCAGATTTAGCTCCCTCGGCTTTCCCTGGTCTTGAAAAGGTTTCTGCCCTGAGTCACCGTTTCTTCACGACGGACGTGCCCAAGAAACGAGGAGAGAGATGTGCCTGGAAAGCTCCGCCGCAATGACCCAAAGCAGGAATGCGCCTCACGGTGTCACAAAAAGTGTGACACGATTTGAATTCATCCAGGTCAGACAGGGGTTCTCTTACTCTTTTTTTTTTTCCCCCTTATTTTAACTTTTATTTCCAGTCTGTTTTTTACAGTTATGTTTCTGGTAGGTTGGGCTATGGTTCCTTTTTGCATGAAGACCGATGCAAAGAATGAGCTGAGCAGCCCTGCTTTCTCTCTGTTGCTCGTTACTTCCTTGCCATCTTCTCTCTTTACTGGACCAACTGCTTCCTTGATTTTTTTTCTTGTTATTTGTATGTTGGAAGAAACTTTTTTTCTTATCTTTGACTTTTGTGGCAAGTCTGTTCATTCTGAGCCTTTGCTTTCCTGACTTGGTCTTTGCAGATTCTGGCTATCTGCTGATCTTCTGCCTTAGTTATGTGTCCTCCTTTCCATTTTTTGTACTTGTCCTTTTTGTCTTTCAATTTGTCAGAGAGATCTTTGTGCAGCCATGCTGGTTTCTTCTTGGATTTCTTGTTTTTCTTTCTCAGTGATATTGTGGTGGTCTGGGCTTTTATGATCGTATTTTTCAGAGTTTCTCAAGATTCTTGAGTTGTTTTCCCCTTTAGGATATTCATCCGAGGAATTTTTGCCAAGTTCTCTCTGAGTTTATTAAAATCAGCTCTTTTAAAATCTAAGACTCTGGTATCATTGTGTTCTATTGCTTGTGTTTGCATTGAGTTGAATTCTAGTATGACATGGTCACTCTCACCCAAGATTCCTGCAGTTTCAATTCCCTCTATTACTTCTGTTTGTAAGTATTTATTTATTTATTCTCAATGCCTCCAAGTGTCTCATATTTATCATTTCAGGTCAGGGCGGATCCAGAGACGCAGCATATTTCATTCTGCTCTTAGGCTGTTCAGCAATTGGTGGTAAGTTCCAGGAAGTGGCCCTTTCCAGCCTTGATATACCTCTGTTTGAAGAGAAAGGGCAGAATTATCTCTCATTGTCCATCCATTCGTCCATAATAATTGGAATATTTTTAATTAATGAAGAGGTTTGTAATAACTGGAATATTTTCAAATGGATATTTGGAACTTAACTAAATAATTAGGAATTGTACTATGTTGTATGAGTTTAAATGTAGGGATACTAGAGTAAGATTGATATTTAATTGATTTTTCATTGAATATGTTTCATTAATTAATGAAATTATGATAAATGGATTACTTTTAAAATAAGAGATAAGAATATAATATAATAGTAATAATGAATTATCTAAGTCAATATGAAATGACAAAATGTAGGGATGTTTAAGACTTGAAAATAAGACCCAGAAATAAGAAGTTTAATACATGTAATTGCAGTAGTTAGAACATTTGGGTTAAGATATATAGTTAATTGGTTAACTCAACTCAACTAATACGTTGAGTTGTATTATTGGGAATAGTTGATAAAAGAATTATTGGTGATTAGAAGAAGAGAATTTAAGGAAATGATTGGGGATTGTACTATGTTATGTGAATCTAAATTTAGGGGTTCAAATTTTAAAGAGGGAAAAGAAAAATTGAGCTCTAATAGGATGAGAAGTCAAGATGAAGGGCAATATTAGTTTCTTAAAATTAAAGAGAATAAATGTAATGAGAAAAATTGAACATATAAAATTACGTTAAAGATGAAGAAAAATCTGTACAAATTTAAGAGCGGGCCAATATTCTGTTCAGAAAAGATGTATTGTCTGCTTGTTTGTGTGTTTAAAAAATTAAAAAAAAAAACTTTAGAAAAAAGAAAAAAGAAAGCTGGCAGAAGCCAGACAGATTTTTTTAATTTTAAGGATTGACTGTATCCAGAAAAGATATGAACAATATTTGCAGTTAAATCGCCTCAAGGATGTTTTCCTGTTGGAGTTCAAGCTGTGCCTCACGCTGCTTTCTCCTTTTCTTCCCTCCGAAGGAGAATTCCAGGAGGCCTCCAGGTATCTTCTGCCTTCCAAGGAAGATTCCCCAACTTTTCTGGTAAGTCCTTTCGACCCACAAAGATTGGCCCTCAGTTGATTCTCTTCCACAGGATTCCAGGATTTAGGGAGAATGAGATCAAGATTCCCAACAGCCACATATTTCTCTCTGCTCTTCCAGCTACTCATAAATGGCCTAGTTGGACAAATAGCCATGAGGACCGAGCGTTGAACAAATCCAAAGCATCTTTTGTAGTTTTCATGGGGAATTCATCCCAGGCCCAGCTCTATACATCACTCAGAACCTACCATATATGCCA